CCCGCGCACCGCGATGAAGAGTGGCCCCTGCTTGCCACAATTAGAGAAAGCCCTTGCACAGAAAAGAAGACCCAACACAGCCAAAAATAAATAAATTAATAAAAAAAAAAAAACGAAAAAAAAAAAACTCTCATCAAAGTTGGTATAGAGGGAAAAAATCTCAACATATTATGACAAACCTATAGCTAATATTATACTCAATGGTGAAAAGCTGAAAGCCTTTCCTCTAAATTCAGGAACAACACAAGGAAGCCCACTCTCACCACTTCTATTTAACACAGTCTTGGAAAACCTAGCCACCACAATCAGATAAGAATGAGAAATAAAGGACATCCAAATCAGAAGGGAAGAAGTAAAACTGTCACTATTTGCAGATGGTGTGATATAGGAAACCTTAAAGTCTCCTCCAAAAAATTATTAGAACTAATAAGTGAAGTAGGTAAGGTTGGTGGATACAAGATTAATATACAGAAATATGTTGCTTTTCTATACACTAATAATACACTATCAGAAAGAGAAAGTTAAAGAAAATTCCATTTAAAACTGCATCAAAAAGAATAAAATACCTAGAAATAAATTTGACCAAGGAGGTGAAAGGCCTATACTCTGAAAAGTATAAAACATGGATGAAGAAAATTGAAGATGATACAAAGAAATGGAAAGATATCCCATGCTCTGGGATTGGAAGGATTAATATTGTTAAAAGGGCCAAACTACTCAAAGCACTCTACAGATTTAATGCAATCCCTATCAAAACACCCATGACATTTTTCACAGAACTAGAGTAAATAATCCTAATATTCATATGAAACTAAAAAAGACACTGAATTGCCAAAGCAATCTTGAGAAAAAGAACAAAACTGGAGATATCACCCTCCCTGACTTCAGACTATATTATAAAACTAAAGTAATCAAAATAGCATGGTACTGTCACAAAAACAGAAACATAGATCAATGGAACAGAATAGAGAGCACAGAAATAAATCCACATACCTATGGTCAATTAATCCATGACAAAAGAGGCAAGAATATACAATGGAGGAAAGACAGTCTCTTCAATAAGTGGTGCTGGAAAAACTGGACAGCTACATGTAGACAAATTAGATTAGAACATTTCCTCACACCATATACAAAAGTAAACTTAAAATGCATTTAAAAACCTAAATGTAAGACCTGAAACCAAAAGAAAAAAAAAATACTCCTAGAAGAGAAGATAGGCAGAACACTCTTTGATATAAATTGTAGCAATACTTTTCTGTCTCCTAAGGCAAAAGAAATAAAAGCAAAACTAAACAAATGGGACCTAATTAACTTTAAAAGCTTTTTAGGAAACACATTGAGAAACACACTGCAAAGAGAAAATGAAATGAAAAGACAACCTACTGAATGGGAGAAAATATTTGCAAATGATATGACCAACAATGGTTAATACCCAAAATATATAAACAGATAATTCAATTCAATATCAAACAAACAACAACACAATCAAAAAAAAACAATGGGTGAAAGACCTGAATAGACATTTTTTTCTAAAGAAGACACACAGATGGCTAACAGGCACATAAAAATATGCCCCAAATCACTAACTATTAAAGAAATACAAATCAAAACCACAATGAGATATCACCTCACAACTATTAGAATGGCCATCATCAAAAAGTCTACAAATAACAAATGTTGATAAGGAAGTAAAGGGAACCTTGCTACAATGTTGGTGGGAATGTAAATTGGTGCAGCCACTATGGAAAACAGTGTGGAAGTTCCTCAAAAAACTAAAAATAGGACTACCATATGATCCAGCAATTCCACTCCTGGGCATATATCCAGAAAAAAATGAAAACGCTAATCTGAAAAGATACATGCACTCCAATGTTCATCAAAGCACTATTTATAATAGCCAAGATATGGAAGCAACTCAAAGTGTCCATCAATATATACAATTGAATATTACTCAGCCATAAAAAAGGATGAAATTCTGTCATTTGCAGCAGCCTGCATGGAACTACAGAATATTATATTTAGTAAAATAAGTCAGACAGAGAAAGAGAAATACTATATATGATATTGCTTATATGTGGAATCTAAAAAATAAAATAAATGAATGTATATAGCAAAACAGAAACAGACAGATACAGAAAACAAACTAGGGGTTATCAGTGGGGAGAGGAAAGGGGGAGGAGCAAGATGGAGTTATGGAATAAGAGATATAAACCATTATGTATAAAGTAGTTAAGCAACAAGGATATATTGTATGGCACAGGGAATAGTAGCTATTATTTTGTAATAAGTTTTATTAATCTATAAAAATACTGAAACAATAAGCTGCACACCTGAAACTAATATATCAACTTAACTTCAATAAAAATATTTTTTAAATAAAAGGAACACTTGTATGCACACAAGTAACAAAAATAAAATCTCTACATCGTTTTTTTTTGGCTGTGCTGTGCAGCTTGCGCTATCTTAGTTTCCCAACCAGGGATCAAACCCGTGCCCCCTGCAGGGAAAGCATAGAGTCCTAACCACTGGACTGCCAGGGAATTCCCAAAGTCTCCACATCCTGACAGAAAAATAAATGTATTCCACTTATAAAATTAAAGAGTCACGGGCATGTAGTTACTGTACAACATGATGACTATTGTTAATAATTCTGTATTGTATATTTGAAAGTTGCTAAGATAGTAGATCTTAATAGTTCTTAACAGGAGGAAAAAAAATTGTAACTATGTATGAAGGATGTAACTAGGCTTATTGTGTTGATTTAACAAGACAGTTGACCCTTGCACATGTGTTTGAACTAGATGAGTCCACTTATAAACTAACTTTTTTCAATAGTAAATACAGCACTACATGATTTGCGGCTAGGTATCAAGAATACTGAGGGTGAGCTATAAAGTTATATGTGAATTTTCCACTGTGTGTATATACAAAAATTAAATCATTATATTGTACACTTGAAACTAATGATGTTATATGTCAATTACACATCAATGAAAAAAAATGCACAGCAGAGTCCAAGCTTTAACACATCATCTTTAACCCAACTACATAGTACTAATAAATGAAATATAACAAATAGAAAATAGAGAATCAAAGATGGGCTCAAAAGTAAAATAAATAGATTAGAAATGAATTGAGAATCTATATGTTCAAAATTGCCCCCCTGTACTGACTTCCAGCATGACAGTGTAAAAAAGTCTACTGACCTGCTCCCGAAATGAAAAGTTAAAAGAACAAATGAACAAACAAACACCATTTAAAGGCTCTGAAAATGGTTCAAAAGGCAAAGAGCGCATCAAGAAACAACTATTCCAGAAAATCTATGAAAATTTGGTAAAAAAAGGGCTAGAGTGTGTGGTATTTAAACTAACACTGCTCTCTCCCTCTCTGCTCCAAGCAAGGCAGAGACTCCATTCTGGAGAGCTGCAGCCAATAACATGGGGTTCCCTCTCTCCCAAATTCCCAATCTGAGAACCTTCTACATGTGTGAGGAGCAACATTCAACGTTTTTCATCCCATCGTCAACTACCTAGTGCAGAGGCTGAGTCCTTGGCAAGTGAAACAAGAGGTGAGGACTCCTCCAGCACGCCCCCCCCGCCCTCAACTAATGGAATGGAGGCTCTATCTTAGGTGTGGTGCACTGAAAATATTGGAGCCCGGATCACCTTTGCCCTGCACATAAGGCAGTGTTTCCACAATAGGAAAGACAATTTTTTTGTGTGGTCCAACTTACCAATCTTTTCTTTTCTTTTTTTTTTTTTTTTGTGGTACGCGGGCCTCTCACTGTTGTGGCCTCTCCCATTGCGGAGCACAGGCTCTGGACGTGCAGGCTCAGTGGCCATGGCTCACGGGCCCAGCCGCTCCACGGCATGTGGGACCTTCTTGGACCGGGGCACAAACCTGTGTCCCCTGCATCGGCAGGCGGACTCTCAACCACTGCGCCACCAGGGAAGCCCACCAATCTTTTCTTTTATGGTTCATTTTTTTTTTTCTACCCTGTTTACGAAATTTTTGCCTTTCCCAAGAACATGAAGTTATTCCCCTGTTTTCTCCTAGAAGCTTTATTACTTTACCATTTATATTTAGGTCTATGACTCATTTTGAACTTTTTGTGTATGATGTTAAGGTAAAAGGCCATGATTTTTGTGTGTGTGTATGTCTATAAGAATATAAGTTCTCTATTTTGGCAAACAAATTCTCTCATGCTTGGAATTTACAATCTTTTGTTGACTGTTTGGTGTGAGTAGTAGTGGGCAATATTTAATATTCTTAAAGAATTAATCTAAGAACCATAATGCACCTTGAATACAATTGAGATGTATTGTTGGAAACATTCCATCAATGAGTGTTTTAGTCCCAGGATTGGTGTCATGAGACAAAGACCACAGATTGAAGGTCCCTCATAACTAGAGGCAAATGGCCGTGCTGCTGGAGAGTAGTGAGGAACACTAAGATAATGGCCAAAATACCAGATGAGACAGACCAGCCCATACCTCAATGTACCCTACTGTAGGATTCCCAGTAACAGGAGAGGAGAAAAGTCACCTCAATGACTTTTTTTTTTTAACCTCAATGTCTTTTGGGTTCTAACAAGAACCCAGCACAGGCACAGAGGCTTCTTGCCCCACATCCATAAGGACACATAATTTTCCCCTATACCCAACACTATCTCAAGAATTAAGAGGTAGAAAGGGGGCCAAATGTCAAATGATTTATATTCCTGATGGAAAGTTTATTCATTGGATTGAGTAAACATATAGCAGAGAAAAAATTTTAATTGGAAAAGGTTAACTTTACCTGGTAAAATTTACCTTAGCAAAATTAAGAGCTATAGAACAAGATGAGATCATGTATAGAAAATAAAGTTACTGCACATATGAATTGTGTTGTGCTGTATACTGTTTTTAACTCTAACCTGGTAAGCATTGGTACAGTTAAGAGGTACACAGGCTCAGGATGTTTCACCTTAGGCAATAAAATCTATAAGCTGAATTGGTTACCTTGAAGCCAAATAGAGAGGGAAGGCTGAAGAAGCTTTTCCTTCATGCAGGTATCTGATGCTGTGCCAGGAAGTTTTAAGAATAACAATAGGAATGGAGTTGATGGGTCATTTCAGCTGAACTGTTCCCTGGTGGCTACAGTGGGCCTAGGACCACAGAGTGGAGAGACAGAATTTGCTCTGATAGTTGCCGTCTAGAGAGCCTTTGCTATCGGCAGAGAATACTGATAATGGCTTTCAAACTTCCACAGAGTAATGCTTTCTTCCGATGAATTCTTATTCCAGGAAACCTAAAATATAAAAGAGATATGAAGGTTAAGAAGGTTATTTAGACAGTATCTATCTGCTTTCTTATAATATCCCTAAAGTAATTCCATAGCACTTTGAAAATCACTGAGGGAAGCACCAGTTCAAGACAGGTCAGCTGAACAGACACAACTAACTTGGGCTCTGATACAGTTTGGCTGGAATCTTTTACCTCAGGCTAACATGCTGAGAATGGCTTCCTAGAGAAAGTGAGCGATCTGCCTGGGAAATGTCTTCCTGGAAATAATATGGAATGTTGAGGTCTAAAACAAAGACTGCTAGCTGTACCTGCAACATCCATTCTCCCTTTTGTCCTGTGAAGCACATGGTCACCTTGAATCAACATAACATTTCCTAGTACTTAATAGCAGGTAGTGTTAAAAGTTTCAGAAATGGAGACCTGACTGAAATAAAGACTGCAGCCTGGGAAACACAGATTCAACAAACACTTGAATTGTGTTCTACCAGACTACAAAATCGGAGAGGCTTATAAAGGCAAAAAGTTGCAAGGCCACAGTTAATTATATGAGTTGTTTTTCAAGAATTATGATTAGAGTTGGCAAGAAGTGAGGGTGCTTCGTAAGCATGGATTGGTTGGGGTCTGAAATGGTTGCACAGTTACAAAGGGAGACCTTGAGACGATAAGGTTGCAGCTGGCAAGTGTTGTTCTAAATATGCTGGTGGTGTCCTTGGGCCTGGAACATTTCAAAGAAAGTTCAAGTTCTCAGTGATGCAGAGACCAGAGATCATATCCTCAATGGCCACCTGACTCCATTTTGTGTGCCCAAACTGTGATTACTCCATTATAATTTAAATCTGTTATTAGTAGTTATGTGTGACTGTATGTCTAAGTACTGACATATAAGATATAAACAAAAATGTTGTGAGCAACTTCTGGCTGGGAAATTCTTAAAGGACTCTTCCTTCTGGCTGGAAGGTGGGCATAATGTCCAGAGTTAGAGCAGCCACTTTCATCGGCTGTAGATGGCACATACTGAGCTCGACAGAACCACAAAAATGTAGAAACCTGGTTCACTGATGATTGGAAAACTAGTCCTGGGGTACCCACACTTATGTGTGTGAGAAATAAACTTCTATCTTGCTTAAACTGCTGTTATTTGGTTTTTAAAAATCACAAACAGCTAAATCTTAACATCTAAACAAATAAATGATATAGGAGAAAAATATCACATAGCAAAGCTCGAGGTTACACTGTTCCTCTGAAAAAGGTACAAAATTGACTGGGGGTTGGGGGGAAGGAGACAGAAAGACAGACCAGGAGGGAAATTCTCTTCCACAAGGATAAAACCCTTCTTAGTTTAATAACTGTGAGAGACTTGAGCTTACCTTTCTATTTTCCACCCCTATATCCTTAAGGTAATTGTGACTAGGAAAAGCCCTATCTACTGACTCAGAGCCTCATTTTTCCTTCCTGTTTAGAAAACCTCCACTTACACAACTACAGGAAAAATTAATGCCATGATTTACTTTGAAATGCTTTTTTTTTTTAAAAAAATATAAATCAATGGCTCAATAGAAGATGAATATGTGAACAGTTATATGACAAAGCTAGTACAGTATAATAAAATGCTAACAGGAGAGTCTAGGTAGTGGGGACACATGTCCACTGTACTATTATTTTAACTTTCTTTATGTTTGTATATATTCATGATAAAATATTGGAAGGAAAAACATTCTAGTTACCTCTAAAGTAATCAACATAACCCATTTTACAAAGACCTAAACAGAAAATCAGGGATCACCAGATATTCGCAGAAAATCAATCAAAGACAAGGATGACAATAAGCAGAATAACCAACCTTAGAGGAAAGAGAGATGGTTGAGGAAACAGAAGAAAAGAATTTTCAGATGATATTGTAAACATAAAAGAACATTCTACTATGTAAAATAAGCCATCAGAAAATAAGAAATATTTCTTGAAAATTAAATATATCTGAATATTTTTAAAAATTCAATGACATTAAACCTATCTTGAATTTAAATAACATTAAGAGCTAAAACTTATTGAGTCCAAGTCACCATCACTGTTCATCTAGATGAACAAAATAGCCTCACAAATTGTCTGCCTAGTTCTATACTGACCCCTTACAGTCAATTCTTAAAGCAGCCATAGAGACCCTTTTAAAATCAGATAGTGTCTCTCCTCTACTTACAGTGACTCCCCTTTTCATTCAGAGTAAAAAGTCTTAACAATAGCTTCTATGATCCCTCATTCACACATCCCTCTTTCCTCTTCTACTACTCTTCTTTGTTTTCTTCTTTCCAGCCACTTTGGCCTCCTTAGAACTGTTTGAACAAGCCAGGTATCTCCCAAACTTAGTGTTTTTGATCTAGTTTTTCCACCATTGATTAGTTTTGCCTCTTCTAGAATTTCATATAAATGAAATTATAACCAGCATACCTTTTTTGCATGAAAGGCTTCTTTCACTCAGCTTAATGTTTTGAGGTTCATTCATGTTGTTCCAGGTATTAGTGGCTTGTTCCTTTCCATTGTTTAGTAGTCTGTTGCATAAATATACAAAAATTTGTTTATGCCACTGTCTGATGGACACCTGGATTATTTATAGTTTGGGGCTATTGTAAATAAACTGCTATGAATATTCTTATATATTTTAATTTATCTATTGGCTTTTTGCATTTCTTTTAGTGGTTATTCTAAGTATTAAAACGTATATCCTTAACTTTCTATAGAGTATAAATATACATTCACTACTTACCCCACCCTGCCCTTTATGGTATAGCTAACTTTCATATGTACTATATCAAAAGATATAATAAGCCTTACTAGACAATGTTATAATTTTTGTTTTAAACAGTTATATGTATTTTAGTGAAATTAAGAGGTAAAACATATATTTACTGAGATATTTGCTACTTTTGATGCTCTTTCTTCCTGAAGATTTGAATTGCCATTTGATTTTATTTCCCTTCCTTTAGCATTTCTTGTAGTGCAGATCTGCTTGTGATAAAGTCTTTTACCTAAAACTTTTTATTTCACCACTCTTGAAGGATATTTCACTAGATACAGAATTCTGGATTGACTGTCTTTTTCTTTCAGCACTTCAAAAACGATCTACTCTCTTCTGGCTTCCACTGTTTCTGATGAGAAGACCCAAGTTCTGATCATTTGGATCAGTGTTCTCTTATATGAATGTGTCATTTTACTCCTGCAGCTTTCAAGATTTTCTCTTTATTGTTGGTTCACAGAAGTTTGACTTTCTTGTGCATAGGTATGCTATTTTTGTGTTATGTATGACCAAGTTCACTGACTCTATCTTCACAATCTCCATTCTTCTGTTAAGCCCATCAAGTGAATTTTTAAAAATTTCGTATATTTTGTTGTTTTGTAATAGAATTTCCATTTGGTTCTTTATTATAAATTTTACGTCTCTGCTGAGAATTCCTGTATTTTCATTCAATGTGAGTATTCTTTTCCTTTAAGTCATTAAGTATAGTTATATACTTATAGCTCTTTAAGTCCTAATGATTCCAACAATGAATTAGCTTGGGATCAGTCTCTATTACTTTTCTTTTCTCTCTCTCTTAGGAGAACTCACACAACTCATCATATAGTTGTACTCACAGCTCAGATTTACTACAGGAATGTAGTGTGTGTGTGTGTGTCTGTGTGTGTGTGTGTGTGTGTGTGTGTGTGTGTGTGTGTGTGTGTAAGAAAGAAAGCTCATTATAAGGATGAGGGAATATATCTTAAAAGCCCACTGACCATATTCAACATTAAATATATCAAGTTCCAGTGAATATTGGGAGGTGGAATAAGTTTCTGAGGGTATTTGGGAATAATTAGGTTGCCCAGAATACAGACATCAGTGTATAAGAGGATTAGAATGAAGAAGAGTTAAGAGTAAATTTTGTGCTTAAAGAAGTAATTGTGGAGAACTAGGAATAAGAGAGTTCAGAATTGAGATATAAACTGGAAGGGAAAGTTCATAAAGTACCAAGAAGAGATTGAAGAATTACTCAGTCCTAATATTCCAAAGAGGAAGTACCATTTCAAGCTCGAAAACATGATTTTTACATAATTATTTGACATGTTTTAAAATTCATAGTTTCTCTTATTTATATATATATATCTATACATACACACACATATATATGTCACAGTATGACATATATTGAATATGTGGTGCTTGGGGGTGGGGGAAATAAGCAGAAATCCAAATTTTTCTTGTAATACTACAATCTAAACCTTCTTTGTCAGATGTTTTTCCCTACCCCTAGATTATAAGCTAGGCATGCATTATGGCTTTTCTGTTTACATTAGGATAATTTTGGAATGTCTCAATCTTAGTTATTTAAAAATCCAATATGATCTAAATCACTTTAAATGTTTTCTATTCATTGCTTCTCTTCATTCATTCTTTCTTCTTCTTTTTTTTTGGTCTTCCACACTTTTCTGCCTTCTCTGATTTTAACTGAACATTTTATATGATTCCAGTTTCCATCCTCTCTTAAGATACCAATTAAAACTTTTGTTTTTGGATGTTCTAAAATGGTTGCCTTAGAATTTGCAATATACATTTACAACTTACCTAAGTCCACTTTCAAATAACACTATAATGCTTCATGGGTAGTTAAAGTACAAAGTATTTTCAATTTCTCCCTCCTGTCCTTTATAACACTGCTGTCATTCATTTCACTTACCCAAAAGCTATAATCAAAGAACACAATGTTGATATTATTTTGAACACTGTTATCTGTTACATCAATTAAGAAAAGTTTAAAAAAATATTTTACCTTCATTTATTCCTTCTCAAAAACTCTTTCTTCATGTAGATCCAAATTTCTGATGTATAACATTTCTATCTCTTTGAAGAACTTCTTTTAACATTTCTTGCAGGGCAAGTCCACTGGTGACAATTTCCCTCAATTTTTGTTTGTCTGAGAAAGTCTTTATTTTTCCTCTATTTTCTAAGGATAATTTCACTGGATATCAAATTCTAGGTCTTCAAGACTTTAAATATATCATCCCATTTTCTTTTTGCATAGTTTCTGAAGAAAAGTTCAATGTAATTCATATCTTATTTTTTCTCTGTAGGCAACATTGGTTGTTTTCTCCCCTCTGACCTCTTTCAAGATTTTCTCATAGACTTTCATTTTCTGCTGTTTGATTATATATGCCCAAGTGTAATTTTTTAGTATTTATCCAGTTTAGAATCCTCTAAGCTTCCTGGATCTGTGGGTTTTAATGTCATTAATTTTGGAAAATTCTGTCCTTACTTCAAATAGTTCCTTTGTTCCTTTTCTCTCTTCTCCTTCTAGCATTCCCATTATGCATATGCTAAACTTTTTGTAATTTCCCCACTTTTCTTGGATATTCTGTTTCATCTTCTTCATTCTTTTTTCTTTTCAGTTTTGGAAGTTTCTATTGACATATCCTTAATCTAGATTCTTTCCCTGGTTGTGTCCAGTCTACTTATGTGCCTACCAAAGGTGTTTTTCATTTCAGTTCCTGTGTTTTGGATTTCCAGCATGTCCTGTTGATTCCTTCTTAATGTTTTCATCTCTCTGCTTACTGTCCCCTTCTGTTTCTGCATGTTGTCCACTTTCCTTCCACTTCAAAGGCTAGAGTGGTCTGGAGTTGAGTATTTTCATTTCACTAGGTTGGTAACCCCCCAGTTGGTTAGGCTCTGGTAAAACAGTTTCCCTTAAAGGCAGATTTTATTAAGGAAAATAGAGAGCTCTGGGTATATTTGAAAATGCTCACTTTTCCTCTCCTACTGTCAAAAGAGAATTTTTATCTGATTTTCAAAGTGAGAAGCTGGTAGGTCTCTTGGAGGTAGCAGTCACAAAAGTGTGCCCCCCCCCACCCCCAAGCAATGGAACCACTTGGAGTTTTAATTCTCAAATTAGTCCATGAGTTTTAATGACTAAAGTAGTCCACAGAGAGCTTCTGGCAATTCACCTATTACAAGTGGAGACTAGGTTGTAGAAAAGTAAGAACAGAAGCGTGTAGAACAATTAAGAAACAATTAGAGCATCCAGTGAGGAGTGGCATAGTAGTTGTAGAGGTGGTAAGAATTGGTTAGATTTAGAATACCTTTTGAAAAAAGCCGATAGATTTTGCTGAGGGACTGACTGGATGTGAAACTTGAGAGAAAGAAGAATCAAACTATGAACTTAACAGTTCTAAGAGTCAATATGCCATTTGCTGAGATGTAAAGATATACACTAGGAAGAGTGAGACAGGTTTTGGAAACAGAAAATAGTTTGAAATGCATGTTAAATATCCTAGTAGATATGTTGACTAAGAAGTTAGATACGTTAGTATAGAAATCAAAGAAATCATGGCTGGAAATGGCTATTTGGAAGCCATCAGCATAGTGATGCTATATAAAGACAGTGAAGGAAAGAATGAGATTACCTGGGAAATAAAGGTGGCTAAAGAGGGGAAGAGAGCTGGGACACACTAAGAAATGAGGCAGAGTCTAGCAAAGAAGAATCAAAAGAGCTCTGTGAGTTCACAAAAGTCAAATGAAGAAAGCGTTTCAAGCTTCAAAAAGGAGGATGTGATGAACTGTGTCAAATGTTGGTGAATGGTTAAGCAAGATGAAAACTAAGTGTTGCCCCTTGGATTTATCAGGATTGTTTAAATGCCCAGATATCTACAAACTCCCTTTTTATGAAAACATATAAACTAGCTAAGAGGTCTCACATTCAAGTGTGCCTAAGAATTAAAGACCTAGAGTTTATGCTTAACATCACGTATCCTGCACTTTGTGGGCCACTTACAGTATTTTCATGAGTAATTTTTACTCTCAGGGATTTTTACCGTAAAGGCTGAGCTTAGATCCAACCCACTGTTAGCGATGTGATCCTAGCTTTACACAGCTGTTTCCAATCTATCCTATTAGCAGTCAGTAGATAAAGAAAATGAGTACCTACTTCACGTAAGTCATAATTTACAGATAAATTTAATCTTCTAAATCTAGACTTTTCCACTCCCTGTCTTTTCTGGAGTTGAAGGGACCAGGTGAAGCGGGATAAACCATGTGTGGGAGAGTGGGCAATTAGTGGCATGGGCACTCTCCCAACTGTTTTTAAACTACGCTTGGAGAACGAGGCTTCACGGTGGCCCCATACTCTGAAGTAACCCAGGAAGGGGTGTCCATTACTCCAGAAGAAAGAGCGAAGGAAAGGCGAAGAGAGCCCACAGGGACATAACAGGACAATCCCTCCCTCCCGTGTGCCTTTCTCTCCCAGCCCACCTACCGCCACAAGAACCGACCCAGCGACCACGCCCCGCCTCCTTCCGGCTTGTCGCGGCCGCCGCCGACGTGTGCGCAATGACGTTTCAATCTCCTGCGGACCCCGGAAGTGCAACTGGAACTTGTTCGGGGCGCGGATCCGGAGAGGGAAAGTCGTAACAACCGCACGAGGGAGTTCGGCTGGCGAGCTGGAAGGCCACGCCTCCTCCCGCCTCCCCCCACAGCCCTGTAGCTGGGGGCAGAGCTCAGGTAGGACCTGCGTTTGCCGGGTTGTGAACTCCCGGGGGGCAGGCCCGGGCCGGAATCAGAGGAAGAGGCTGGCCTTGGTTCGTCTCGGGCGGGGGTCGGTGGCGCCGCGTTTCCTGCGGACACTTCTGCCCTGTGTACAGGACCCCGCTGATGGGCAGCTTACACCTGCCATTTCCACTTCCGAGGCGGGGCGTTACAAGTGTGTTCCCTGGATGAGTCTCCTTACTCTTGGACGTTTGGGGTTCTGGGAGCCTAGAGACTGTAGCGTAATGGGCCTTTCTAAGCTTTCTCAGGTGGGGAGGTTTGGTGGTTCTCTGGTTGAAGATTTTTCTACGAAAATGATCATCACCTGCCAAACCTTTACCAGAAGACATTCGCTGTAGGCAGAAGATTAAAGTGCAGTTATAAAATGCTCCCCAAACTTGTAACGTGCATGGGCGCTGGTGGGACATTTCACTGGGATGAATTCTTAATTGAATACTTTTGACTTTGAAACAAAGTTAGGTATATTTTGGAGGCAGTCTTCTCTTTCTCTCATCCAGAGATTTAACATATTCTTCTAGTGCTCCAGAGTGTGTATTTGTTATGCCAAGTAATTGGTTGCTTAATTTTTGGCTATATTTATTGACAGTCTTGTTGCCTTTGTCTGTTTCCCCAAATCCTGTGAAAAGTTGCAGAGGGAAAATCCTTTGGTTTTCAGGCTAGCGAGTGCCTTGTACCATTTATCAAAACAGGTGAAATGTGATGCAATCCACGGTGTCTTTTTGTCTTAAAGCGGTGTTAGAGGTGTATTCTTCGTGCTTGTTTTTTATCCCTCATTGTGAGGGACAGATATACTGTATTCATTTGATGTATTTAGAAAATAAGTCAGGGAGCAGTTTTTTGGCATTCTGGTACCAGGCTTCTATCTGACTCTTTAAGTGTTCCTTCCACTTAAGCCTAAACCAGGAATGCTGTGGATGGCTTAGAAGCAGTGGCTGTTGTGACGCTGGTAAATGGTAGAATAGCACCAACGCCAAGAGGGCAGCATGACCTATGAAACCGTAACCATGCACCCACTCATTCCATTAACAGGTATTTATGGGCCATCTTCAGTGTGCCAGGTGGTGTTCTAGTTGCTGGGCTTCCAATAGTGAACAAAATGGGCAGTCTTTGTTCTGAAATTTATGCTGTAGTGGATAGAGAAGGACAGTTAGCAAGTAGATATATCAGGCAGTGATAAGGGCTATGAAGAAAAATAAAGCACATTGAGGGGAGAGAGAATGAATGATGGAGGATGCTGTTTTAAATAGGGTGGTCAAAACCTGCCTCTCTGGCCGAGACAGTGAGAGGGCCGAGACAGTGAGAGGCCTGCGCACCGCGATGAAGAGCGGACCCCGCTCGCCACAACTAGAGAAAGCCCTCACACGGAAATGAAGACCCAAAACAGCCAAAAATAAATAAATAAATTTATATTAGAAATATAGTCACAGGACAAGGCAGTTCCCATTCTACCATTTAAAAAAAAAAAATCCTGCCTCTCTGATAAGAGGACTTTTGAGTAGGGATCTGCATGAAATCAGGGAGTGAGCTCTGCAGGTATGTGGGTATGTGTTTTAGGCTAGGAAAAGGCCCTGAGGCAGGAATGTATTGGTATATCTTGGAATAGCAAGGATATAGGCATGGAGGCATCAGTGTTTAAAAATCTGAGGAATATTTACTCAGTGTTTTGTGTGAGCCTGAGAGATCTTTTTTATTGACAGCCTGTTTTTCTCAGCTTTCCCAGGCAGACCTCTATGAGGATAATCTGATGTCTTCAGATATGTAGAGATGTTTCCAAGCTTTTCATTAGCGCAAACAAAATTAAGCACTATTTACTCAGTTGAACATAACTTGAGCTGTCTGTTTTAGGGTCAGATTGGGTTTGTACAATGGCCGTGGATAACTAAGTAGCAAGTGAAATAAGCTAACTTATGTCAACTTTACTTTTCATTCCTTTTTCTTTAAATTGTGGTAAACTATACATAACATAAAATTAGTCATTTTAACCATTTTTAAGTGTACATTTCAGTGGAATTAAGTACATTCACATTGTTATGCAGCTGTCACTACCATCCATTTCCAGATCTTTTCATCTTTCCCAGCTGAAACTCCATACCCATTAAACATTAACTCCTCATTCCCCTCTCTCCTCAGCACTGGACAACCACTAAGCTACTTTCTCTATGAATTTTCTGTTTCTGTCTAGATACCTCATATAAGTGGAATCATATGACATTTGTCCTTTTTCACTGGCTTATTTTGCTTAGCATAGTGACTTCAAGGTTCATGTATGTTGTAGCATACGTTAAAATGTTCTTCCTTTTTTTTTTTTTTTTTTGCGGTACACGGGCCTCTCACTGCTGTGGCCTCTCCCGTTGCGGAGCACAGGCTCCGGAAGCGCAGGCTCAACGGTCATGGCTCATGGGCCCAGCCGCTCCGCGGCATGTGGGATCTTCCCAGACCGGGGCACGAACCCGTGTCCCCTGCATCGGCAGGTGGACTCTTAACCACTGCGCCACCAGGGAAGTCCATGTTCTTCCTTTTTAAGGCTGAATAATATTCCATTGTATATATAGACTACAATTTGTTTATCCATTCATTTGTCTGTGAATGCTGGGGTTGCTTCCACCTTTTGGCTATTTTGAGTAATGCTGCTATGAACATGAGTGTGCAGATATCTGTTTGAGTCTTCTGCTTTAATTCTTTTGGTTATATACCCAGAAGTGGAAGTGCTGGATCATGTGTTAATTCTATGTTTATTTTTTTAAGTATTGACATATTATTAACAACAGTGGCTACACTATTCTACATTCCTACTGGCAATGCATGGAGGCTCCATTTTCTCTGCATCGTCACCAGCAGTTCTCTACGTCCTCACCAAGCACATTTTCTCTCTTATTTTTTTTTTAATAATAGCCATCCTAATGGGTGTGAAGTAGTATCTCAGTGGTTTTTGCCTTCCCTACTGGTTGGTGATATTAAGCATCTTTTCATATGCTTTTTGGCCATATGTATATCTTTTTTGGAGCACTATTCATTTAAGATCTGATTTTTTTTTTTTTTTTTTTTTTTTGGCTGTGCCACATGGCTTGTGGGCTCAGTTCCCAGGTATTGAACCTGGGCCATGGCAGTGAAAGCCCAGAATCCTAACCACTAGACCACCAGGGAACTCCCCTTAAGGTCTGATCTTAATAGAAAATTTTGCAGGGTTTTTTTGGGTAAATTTTTTAAGGGTTAAGAAAGCAGCCACCTTGTCTTCTGTTACTTTTTTAACCCTAAAATACTGTAGTTGTAAAAACTTAAATTGTCTATAGACCAAGTATCTGCAGTAACTCCAAAGTTAGAAGTAAAAGAAACCATAAAGCATCTTTTGTAACAGTGAATGAACCTCTGGGTATCAGACTGTGATGAAAAGAGTTCTGAACAGCCAAAGATCATCCCCACCTGCTTTGATTCTCTTTTCTTTTTATTTAGAAGGAAAGGAGTGTATCAATTGGCTGACTATGGCTGTGAAGTAGATCTCTTTTTTTCTGGTAGCTGAGAAGAGCAGGAAAAGAGATAAAAATGATGAAGAAACAGAAAAAGAAGTGTTAGCAGTTGGATGTAGCTAGATGGAGAATGGCAAAGGAGATCAGTAACAGTAATGGACCTTAAGCACCAGAACTGACAGCAGAAGAGGGGGACCTGGCAACAAAGTGACAGAAAGTAATATAGCTCTACAGATTGGAATGGGATGGGGGACAGGGTGAAAGTGCAGCTGTATCTCAGCATGTGGTTCTGAAGTCAGCCACCTGGCCTTAAGTGATTCAGTAAGACCTACTGTATACCAAGTAACATATGTCGGTTCATCTGGTTCAGCAGTTAGTATTTGGAGGGTGTGCAGTATATACAGTCCTACAGAAGTAAACTAAGTTTTTCAGACCATGTATCACATCATTTCCAACCATAGAGTAATGAGGTTTGAGTAATTTAGTGAGCAATGTGTAATTTAACAATGTTCAGCATTGTTAAGAAAAAATTTTTTAGACTATCTGTGTAAGAGAGGAAGGAATTTTTTTATTCAGAATGGCTGATGACCCATTAATGCAAGGTAACGCATCTTTTTTTTTTTTTTTAACTATTGAATGTTTTGTACCCTATTCTTTATTAAATACTCTTTGGGTACTGCATTTAGCTAACTGTTTCAGTTATAAAGCTTATTTAAGTTGATTACTTTGCTTTCATTTAAAGTAGTGAATGAAAAATTGTACCACATTTTTGCTTATCACTCTTTGACAAATTAAAATTGATTAATTTGCTGCAGATGAGGTAGCAGATGACTGACTTGCTTAACATTTTACAGATAAGTTAAAGATAATTTAGAGATAACGGTGCTGTGCTGCTTTCTCTGATATTGTATTCTTGTCTCCTTTTTTTTGAGAACAGTTCATTTTTGTAATATAGATACTGCAATATAGATAACAGATAATTTTTACTGTAGGGAAAAATATCACTGTGAAGACAGATCATTGAAGCAAAGCATTTATTGTATGTTTGTTTCCATTTCTTTATAGCAGATTGAATATTTTAAGCGTGGTCTAGGTTGATAATAAGGGTTGATTTGCTCAGAGGTTAGAGAGGTGCTAATAAGACTAAGATTGTAGATTTGGGCCTTGTAAGGCCCTTTAATAGCTAATTAAGGGAATGATAGCAACTAATACCCAACATTGTAACTGCCAATGGCTGTGGGATGTGGCTACTATTCCTATCCCCTGCTAATCACATTGCCATTATCTGTGATAGGTATAAGAAAGCAACATGAAAGATACTATATGTGGCTCAACAGATACAGTATCTCTATTTAAAAAACAATTTGGAGTTAATATCCAAGGTAATTAAGGAGTGTGATACCCTTTTCATTTACAAAGCATAGCTTAGTTTTGTGTGCTTTGTTTAGAACATGGAACAAGCTAGAATTGTGACCAAGATTATAACTCGAG